GTTGAAGAAATATACAGGTCTGACCTAATAGAGTCGACTCTTAGTAATATGTATACATAAATATGTTGCTTATGCAATTTAGTCAGCTTAAATTGAAATGGGGCGCTGATGCCGGAAATATTAAAATTCTATATCCTTGACTGGAGAAGAAATTTATTAAATACTTTTTATCGCACTTCTTAGCCTCATCTAAGCTTTCCTTTTTTGGGTTTCTTTTATTTTTACATTTTGGTCATTATCATGATTTGCATTTTGAATTGGGCGACGACTTTAAGAATCCGACTTGATTCTTGTTGACGGGAGTCTACATAATTTTGCCCTGTGCGTACTAATACATACGGAGATTTCAATTAGGAGAGAACGACTGTGTATGCAGTGGCCGCGGAAGCCGTGGGGACATCTGGGAACATTGCCATTGTAGGATGTAGGTTTATATAACATGGGCAGATGACAAGGACATCGAATAACCGTGGGGACAATGTCCCTATGTCCTCACGCTTCCGCGGCCACTGACGACTTTGTATGTAGCTAACAGATGAACAACTGGGTATGCAGTGGCCGCGGAAGTCGTGGGGACATTAATATTGTGGGATGGGGGAGGGAGGGGTTTATATAACATGAACAGACGATGCGGACATCGAACACCCGTGGGGACATTGCCCCTCCTCTGTCTCCCACCACCCTTCCGCGGCCACTGCTAGCGACAGATTTGAAAAGAGGAAGGAAGAAATAAGTGAGGCACAAATAATTAATACGGGAAAGATGAAAGCTGTTTCTTAATGGACTCTTGGATTTAGAGCGTAAGAAATACGGAGAGAAAGCTGGCAAAGAGAGATTTCACATGACGTGACGCCTGCTGCATGGAGAAAGAGAAGAATGCGGTGGGAGGACACAGAGGCTCAAAATTGTGCAAGTGTGATGATAGTTCAAGCTTCTGGAAAACTTTACTAATGTGAATGTTGTGTTCTTCTCGAGTGCTTAAGGTCTCTCCTTTTTTCGCTACGGAGCACATCTTCATTTCACTTTACACGATTGTCCGCCGCGGCTTTCTCCGCAAGTGCTCGACGACACAATAAATGTCTGATTCGTTTATTGTAATTAACATGATATAAAATTATATAGTGGGAATTTTTCTACTCTTACTGGGATTTTGAAGTATAAAATTCGTTTAAAAATTCAGATTTCGAAATTTTGCTCTCCGTCGACACGATTATGTTTAATCCTCCGCAATAAATGTCTGATTCGTTTATTGTAATTAACATGATCTCATAATATAATTTTCTTGCTGGATTTTTGAATGGTAAAATTCAGATTTCGAAATTTTTCTCCCGGTCGACAAGATTATATTTAATTCTCTTCTTTTTTTTGGTGAAAGCTGTTCCACTCAAATTTACACCATTCTGCATTTTGAAGTTTAATTTTGTCATTCTTCACACACAGTCTCATTTGAAAGTCTTTGAACTAGTGGGGCAAAAAGGGTGCTTGGTTAGTTTTAGTTATGAAAATGTTCGCTTCAATGAATATGTTTCTTTCAGTGGGAGTGGAGTGAGTAAGGAGACGCTTTATTGCCGTGTAGCTCTCGACTAAAATAAAAGGAAAGGATGAGATTACGATGGTCTCTTCAGGCTCCCTTTGAGTCCTGTTTGATGAGTTTTTTTGGACTGCAAGGACCAAAAGAGTTAGAGACAGTGGGGGCGGAAGCGTGGGGACGCAGAGGGACAATGTCCCCACACGGTTGTTCGATGTCGGCATCATCTCCCCATCTTATACATATAAACCTCACCCTCCCCTATCCTGCAATGTTGACCTCTTTCGTACTACGGATTTTTTAATAAAATATCTTTTGGGTACGATGTCGATTTCATAATTACTTCATTACACCTGACAACAAACAATTAAAATGTTCATGATTTCCTCTAAAAGACGGAATATTTATTTTAATCAGTTTTTAAGTTTTGAGTTTTTTGACGGAAGACAAAAAAAATCCACTTTTTAACATTGGTCAGTGTAAGGAAAATTCCAAAATTTGGGTAGCAAAATATCCTACAAAAAATCCAGATTTACTCGTGGCAAATTATTTCGTAAACTCATACCCATTGTGAACAAGAGAAATTTCTGAAAACTTTCCCCTCAATCTAAAAAACCCACTTTTTACCATCAAGTTTTCACAAAATACTAAAGAAATATCCTTATTTTTGAGAAATTTTGGTGTCAGGATAAATTATACAGTATATATATTTGTATATTTCGTCCTCAACGGCAAAATAAAATACTACACAAACATGTGTTGTTCATCCTTAAGAGGTTTATGTCCCCACACCTTCCGCGGCCACTGCTTAAAGAGAAAGAAGGACAGACACGTCCTTGACGAGAAGTGTGTAGCATCCTGTAAAATAATTGTATGAAAGGAGCCCATCACATATAGTTAGTCGTGGTGCTGATCCTGAGTGTTTCTGTTTTTGTTGATTACAGAACAATGTGAATGGGAGGTCCTTGCTGAGGATGAACTCTGCAGCGCTGGAACGCATGGGAATATTAGATGAAAGACATCGTCAAGATATTTGGAGAGAAATCATCAAGCTCAAATTAAAATCTGACATCCTTGGTAAGAGAACACCACGCCACATTTTATCTCTGCCTTTATTATTATTATGCCGCGACGCGAGCTTTATTAACAAATTAGTTCATTAGTGTCCCCGCGATTCGGTGAAACGGATAATTTACATGTTATATTATAATATGATGTTTTTTCTATTTGTAGAAATCCGGGATTTGGAGTCACAAGTTGTCTCCGCGAAATGATGCTTTCTCTCTCTCTCCTCGTCTGGTAATAATAGTGTAGGAAAAGTCGTCGTCTCTGTATAGTGCTCAATTCCATTATTATTATGCTAGAAAGATCGTTATTTTATTTTATACAGGTATGAATATGATAATGATATGGATTCTGGATACAGAAATCGTTTTATAATATGTATATTTCCACTAGGACGATGCATGACAGACCACCAAATCATTTGCATGCCACGATTAGCTAATCATATTTATTAGTAGCGTTCTTCTTTCAATTATAAAAAAAACGTTATTCAACCCAGCCCTTAAATTAAGATGAGCTGTAAAAATTGTGTGTTACCGAGGGAGGGTGGAGGTACCATGCAATTCTATTACCAGAGCGTTGACATTAGGGGCTGAGCAGGACTTAGGATTAGCTTCTCTATATATGTTACCCTTCAGTGATAAATTATTGCCGTAGGGGTAGAATTGCCAGGTACAGACAAGAATCGTGTCAGAAATTATCAAGAATTTTATAAGGCTGTATTTATCTATGTATGTATTTATATAAAATGAAATCCGATGTTCATACACGTCTCCCAGTTTGATAAGCCCTACAAACAACCTTGACATTTCGTCGTTGTTGTATGTGTCACATCCATAACTTTGATTTACGAAGCACTTTAATTCAAATGAACTTGGCCATGAATTGAAAGAGTAGAAGTCGTGATTTTAATTTTATAGCAGGGGAAAGTGTCTCTCTCTTTACTTTTTGATGCAGCAGCGAAAAAAGTTTTACTTTCTCTCTCTCACTTTACGTATCTGAGTTATTGGTGAAAAGGGGGAAAAGTTCTGTGCACAGCATTCGTAAAAATTCTCATGTAAATAAAACCCGTGTAATAAAACGTACCTGAGCCACATGAAGTGAAATAGATAAAAAGTAAAGTAAAGAAACACCTAACCTTCAACCAATTGCTGCACTAAATAGTATACCACTGTGCTTAATTTGTTATTAGAGTCAGGGGCCGCGGAAGGGTGGAGACAGGGGGAAAATGTTCCCGAGGTTATTTAATGTCCCCATCATGTCCTCCTATCCTACAATGTTAATGCCCCCAGATATCCCCACAGCGACAAGGGGACCATGTCCCCACGGTTATTCGATTTCCCCATCATTTGCATAAATCCCTGACTCCCCTATCCTACAAAGTTAATTTCTTCAGATGTCCCCACCACTTTCCGCGGCCACTGATTAGACTATGACTGACTACATACCGCTCTCTGTAATCATGCTTCACTTCAAATTATTACCCTCTACACCCACACCCCTGGAAAACCTCACTTTAATTCAACATTTGTGTACAACCAAATGCATACATACACTTTGCCCTATGTAAATACTCCAGTGGCCGCGGATGCCGTGGGGACATTGTCATTGTAGGATATGGGAGGGAAGGGTTTATATAACGTGGGGATATCGAATAATAATCGTGGGGACATTTGTCCCTCTGTCCCCTCACCCTTCCGCGGCCACTGGCTAGCTCGTAGGTAATCTATGTACCACTGCTGCTGTTCCAGCATCATCAACTCCTCTTCTCATAATAATGTTCCTCCCGTAACTTTTAAATTCGCCAAGTTTTATCTCTTCGTAACGTCCAGTCAACTTTCTCCTCCTTGTAACTTTACCAGTTTACTTCTTCTCCCAAATCAACTTTTGTATGCTTAAGTACATACGAACGACTTTGTGTGGCGTGGGTATTTTCTGTCTGTGATGTAATGTAGCGCTGCTGTGTAAGCAGAATGTTTGTAGTTTAAGTAAGTAAACGGAGGTCTGAAAAAACCTCTACTTTCACTTCCTTCACTTTCACTCATTAGAGGAGACGATCATAAATCCCCGTTTTTAATTAAGAGAACTCTGCAAGCAACCGAAATCTAACCGCTTGGGAAATTCGTACGTATTATCATTCAACCGCTATTATTATTATTATTACGAACAAACCACACACTAATTTCTGTTCTCTTCTCGTCTCGTCTCGTCTTCTTGTAAATATTGTTACGTTTCTTCATGTCATGAGCACGCTTTATTTTTATAGACGCCACAAAAAACTCGCATATTTGTAGCAACGGAACGGTTTTGAAAGTAAATATTGCATTATAAAGCGCAGTACTCAGGAGAGATTTTTCACGTCAAAAAGTGTAACAAAACGGGAAAAATAGACTAAAGTGGCGTTTATGCTTCACGTCTTCGTCATGTTCTCCTCTAAATCCGATTTTTTGATGGGTCGAAATTTTTAAGTGGCGTAGTGATAATTTCGCTCAGCCAATCAGGAGGAGGACGTGACGATGACGTGAAGCATAAACGCACCATTAAGTTACATTTTACAATTGATTTAAAGAAACACTTCGATTTGATACACGTTGTAGTGAAATTCAAGTAATTTCAGCGAAGGAGTAAAGAACTTGTCGTTTCGCGTGAAAAATCTGTCCGAAGTACTAGGCTTAAAAGCAACGAAATATGTAAGTATTTATTAGCATAATTACCCATAGTTGAGTGAGCCTTAAGAAAAGATTTACAAATTTTTATTTATTCAAAATAGGTAGTAGAAAGTTTTTCTACTTTATTTATGTATACATTTATTATGAGTCCCGAACTATTTATAGATATTTAGAATAAATAAAGCACTAATTTGACTACGCATGTATTTTACCATGTATAAAAAATGTAATTGCAAATCATGTAGTGGACACTGCCTTCTAATCTAAAGTATCAGTTTTATACCAAAATTTGTTAATACTTTGCACACAAACAAATAGTATTTAATATCTTAATTTTTGAATAATAATGATTAGAATAATTTGTATTAGACTAATTGTAAAAGTTTTTTGGGAATGTGATCGAATCGACTAATTAGAAAAAAACCTGAGCTTTTGTATACAAATTCATAAAGTTTGTTAACTTTAACAATTATAAGAACATATTTAGGACGTGTAGTATTCTGTACTTCATAAAAAGCAAGCAAATTTTACATGTTATGCAGTAATTATTGGAATAATAAAAATAATAAAAGTTGTTATAAGATTTCTTGTCAATATTATGATCCAGACTCTTCTCTGCTTAAAATCCGGGTTGTTGGTAGACAACTCTAAAAATAGAAAACCATGCTTTGCATACAACCAAAACTATAACATTAAAGAGAGCGTTGCACTTATTCGTCGTGTGCGTAAAAAAACTTTCGAGCATTTTCCCGTTCGGAAAACCGGCTAGTTTTGAATTAGGAATGAGAGCATGTTCAAAAACACATATTTATTTTGATCATCTCAGTTTTTCGTTACGGTTACAGCCTCCTCAAGGCTGTTGACTAAAAGGAGAGGATCAAATAGGAAATCTAATTTCCTCATCATAATCGAATCTTGTCAATAAATAGTCGAATCGTAGCAAATAAAAGATAATAAGAAGTTGGTGACAGGGAGGAAGTGCCCACAGCGCCCGGAAAGTGACCACTACTCGGACTTGAGAAAGTCAACAACTACTTGCAGCCATCCCTCGAGTCTGGACGTGGACAATATTGCTGGCAACAAGTCGGTAAGTACAAATCTGAAATCCCAGTATCACACACACACATTGTAGATAAATACAGTGGCCGCGGAAGGGTGTGGACAGAGGGACAATGTCCCCACGGTTATTCGATGTCCACATTATCTGCTCATCTCTCTCTCTCTCTCTCTTATAGTTATCTCTCTCATATCCTACAATGTTAATGTCCCCACGGCTTCCGCGGAGTGTGTTAGTAGTGGATCATGTTGTTCGGCCTGCTTGTGAAGATCTTGTATTTGGACGGAGCAGACCATTTCGAAATTTTGGTATCGCGTGTGATGTCATCATGACCGTTAGTCAGATAAAAGGACGACACCTCGTCGAAATATGTTTTTTCTGTAGCAGCAGAAACCTTTAACATTTAATTTTATTGTGCATATGTACACACACACACGACCAGAAGAGGGGGACGAACGATGACACTTTCACTTTACTCACTTTCCCTTCAAGTTCTTCTGCCGACTTGTGAGTGATTTTCTCCCGTCTACTTATGCAAAGTGTACAATTTACTATTCAAATGATATGTACCCCACGCAATGAAAGTGGCAAACTTGACATCGTTTTGGATCACAAATTGAATTTTTTAAATTCCACGAACAGCCTGGTGTATGTAAATATGCAAATATGCCAAGATATAGTATACGTTCAAAATAAATTCATATGATGAATATGACCCACGCGTGTGCCATCCAATAACATGAGTAAACATTTGTTTAAGTGAACTTTCGTGATTCTAAATGCGGTGGTTTACTGGTAGGTTTCTACTTTAAAGTCTCAAAAGTTTGTTGAATTTTCAAAATTTTGTTGACCTTCTTCAAAATATGTAAGTGTTGGTTTTGGTGGTATAACCGCTTTTCTTACTTTTTCACTTTCACCACGATCAATTGATATTTGTCAAAACCTTACAGAGTGATATTTATTTGGAGCAGATTTTTTTTTCCAATCTTTTTCCTACACAAAGTAATACAATTTGCTGGTATCAACCCTCTTAAACTAACAAGGGAGGACTCTCAGCATATGCTTTCCTATTTTGAGCAAAATAATATCAATCGATGACAAATTTAATTAGGATGAAATTTGCGAAAGACGCGATCTCCCAATGGGCACGTTTGGCACAGATGTTTGCATCAAAAGAGGAGAAAGCGCGACTTCAAGTTGACAAATTTTACACTTTCCAAATTTGCTGCGTGCTTTCTCCTCTCCGGATGCAAATTGCTCCGGAGTGCCCATTGGGAGATCATGCCTTTTTCAAATTTCATACTAATCAAATTTGCGATCGTCTGACACTAGTTTGTTCAAGTTTAACAGAGATATTTTCATCCGAAGAGGAGAAAATGCGCAGTAAATTAGTGTAAAATTTGTCAACTTTAAAGCGCGCTTTCTCCTCATCGGATGCAAATATCTCTGCTAAATATGCTCATTTGGAGGTTGTGCCTTTCGCAAATTCCATGCTAATTAAATTTGTGATCGATTCCCACTGGTTTGCTCAAAATCGGCGAGCATACGCTGGGAGACCTCCCTTGTACGTAGGAAACTACCCTTCCCAACAAAATAATCTCATGAATTGGGTTATTGTGAAGGAAGAAATATTAGCCGAGGACACGATCACACATATCCATCCATCCCTCCATTCAAGATTTATTGCACGAGTTTATTTCATTTTCAAGTGGCAACTGTTGACTGCATCCGCATTTTCTTTAAATTTCTTTCTCTCTTCATACAAGGCTTCACTCAATTTCTTATCTCTCCTCTGTCCCCCATACAGAGAAGAATTTGGGGACAAAAGTGAAGAGCGTGTGACTGACTATTGCTCTACACCAGGGTTTCTGTTACAATATTATTTTTATGCTTGCATGGTGCATAAAAATCCATAAAGATCCATAAAATTGTAGAACATGTAGGGAAATCATTTCATATTTTGAAGAAACTTCATATTTTCATGGGGGCAAGATTCAATTCTCTAAATTTGTAGTTCTTTTAGGGAGCGTCCATAAATCACGTGATCGATTAGAGGGGGGGGAGGGGTCTGAAATTTATCACCAATTATCACAGGGGGGGGGTAGATGGTCAGATGTCACGTGACATGAGTAAAGTTTTGTTTAACTTTTGTATATGCCAATAAATGTCATCAGAGTTATATATAAACTCTCTTGGCATACCACACGCACGTTATATAGATTTGATTTTCATTTTGCACATTTAGAAACTTGCTTCGACTTAAAATTCTTGTCTGACTGGCGTTTTAAAGATGGAGTTATTTACACATGTGTGTAGCTTTAATTTGATTGATGATTTAAAAAACACTGGACTAATATTGCTACACTCTTAGCAATCTGTACTTGATTCCGTGTAAAAAAACACCTTTATTCGGGGTAAAAATCAAGCATCCATACTGTATAAAGTTGCATAGACAATTTTGGAGGAGGGTAACCAGTTTTACTTTTTTTCGAGTACATTCCCCTGCTAGGGAATGCCCAAAATTAAATCATGTTGTCCGGAATATATTCCGGACATGATTTAATTTGAGTCATCATCTCCTGTCACGTGACCGGTGGGGGGGCGGGGTAGCGAAATTATCACCAAATGTCACTAGGGGGGGGGAGGGGGTCAAAATTGTCCAAAAATCGATCACGTGATTTATGGACGCCCCCTTATGCGTTTATCGTGCATAAAGCATAAAAACGCGTAAAATGCACAAAAATCTATAAAAACGCAAATCATGCAATTCATGTATGAAATTTCATATTTTGAAGAAATTTTATATTTTCCTACCCTGTCAAATTGGGACAAGATTATCTCAATTTCTAGTTATAATTCCACCAGGGTCACTTTCATTAATTTTTCATATTAAAAACCTACTCCAAGCAACTTTGCGGGGCCTTTTAAGATGGCATTAATACCATCTTGGTGGTTAATGACAACACATTTGGGTGGAAAAGACCCCCACCGGCCAACCACTTTGCCGATCATGCCCATCTTCGAACTCATCCTTGCCTTTGATCCGAAGATCAAGTGTACAAAATTTCAAGTCGATAAAATGTGTTTAAAGAGAGTTATCATGCGTACAGACAGACGGACGGACAGACAGACATCCTGACAAATCTATAAGGCCATCTTAAAAGGCCTAAAACTGAAAAAAAACTGTTTGACACTAAAATACTAAAATGATGAGGAAAATACCATAAAATAGCACAACAACGATTTCTTACTATAGTTAATCAAATATTTAGAAAAATTACAATATTACAATATTATTTACTCTTATATGAATAATTTTTATGCATTCTCGTGCATTTTCATGTACTTTTCCAGATTTTTGGTTGGTTTTATTAAACGTACCATAAAATGGCCCCATGATTTCTTAATCAAATTTTCATGATCAAATATTTAGAAAAATTACAATATTATTTACACTTAAATGTTTGTTATGCATTTTCCCAATTTTTGGTGTGCGTTATTAAACTTGTAAAAACATTTTCTGTTCAATAATTTCATGCATGCGTTTTTTTACAAGGAGAAACCCTGCTGTACACGCGAACGAAGAAAGCAGCAGCAAATAATAATGGGGAAAGCATCCAAGGCAAAAACCGCAGCAGCAGCGAAGAACGTGACAAAGCCGGCTTCTGAAAAGAAAGAGAATCCAGAAAGTGATTCCATTTCAATTTCAAAGGACGACTCGAACAAGAACAACTTCAAATGTGGTGTTCACGATTGTCCCGTCCCCGCCGTGTCGAGATGCGGCGGCTGCCAGAAAGTCGGCTATTGTTCGAAAGAGCATCAAAAGTTGCACTGGAAGGATCACAAGGGGGACTGTTGTGGGTGGAAGGTGTCGGAAAATAAGCGGCTGGGTCGATTCCTCATCGCCGTGAGGGATGTCAAGCCGGGAGAAATTATTATGCAAGAAAAACCTCTGATTATCACCCCTCCGAAAATCACCCTTCCGGTCTGTCTCGGTTGTTACAGTGAATTCAAGCCGGATGGAGTGGTGACGGATGGTATGCAATTTTAGGAAGAGTAAATATATTAGAAAATATGTATTCGTTGGCAGTGGCCGCAGAAGCTGTGGGGACATATGGGGACGGTAAAATTGTGGGGTGGGGCAGGGCGGGGTTTATATAAGATAGGCAGATGATGCGGACATTAAATACCCGGGAAGAACATTGTCCCTCTTCCCCTCACGCTTCCGCGGCCACTGTATTGTTGGATATTGCATGTGCATCTGTTACATACAAAATGCAACACTATGTGAAGCATGAAGAATTGCCCAATTTGCTTAATCTCACGATCGCACAAGTATGTATGTAAGGTCCAGAGAGCTGATATGTATTTAGGAAAAAAAGATGAAATATGGATTTAATATTTACGAAAAAATTCCAAAATATTTACGAAATATGTTTGTACCAAAAAATAAGAATTTTCTCAAAACTTGTAATTTTGAAGTGGATTTTTTGTGGTACAATTTTTTTTAACAGAAAAATTTCGTCTCACACCCTAGAAAAATTTGAAAAATGTGTATATGTATTTTTAGGCCTTTTAAGATGGCCTTATAGATTTGTCAAGATGTCTGTCTGTCCGTCCGTCTATCCGTCTGTAGGCACGATAACTCTCTTTAAACAAAAGCTATTGACCTGAAATTTTGCATACTTCATCTTTGGGCAAATTGTAAGGTTGAGTTCGGAGATGGGCATGATCGGTCAAGTGGTTGGTCGGTGGGGGTCGTTTAGGTGGATCGGGTGGACCGTAACAAAATTTAAATGCCATAGAAACGTTTCAAATTTGTCGTGGGAGGCTGAAATTTAGCACGAAGTTAATAATATATCACATATTTGATATTAGGAGTTCGACTTTCAGTTATCAATGCCATCTTAAAAGGCCCCGCAAAGTTGCTTGGAGTAGGTTTTTTAATATTTAAATGATCTACGCATTTTTCAAAGCATAGTTATAAATATTTATATGTATATATGCAAACCTAGAAATGTGTGACAATATGTAAAAAAAATATTTTGAAGTTTTTTGGATAGTTTAGGGGAAAAATGCTTAAATACATATCCGCCCTCTGTTCATCTCTCAATTTCAGACGGTAAAGGCGTCAAACCGCACGCTTGCCAGAATGGATGCGGCTTTCCCATGTGCAAATCTCCACTTTGTTGCAACTCCCAGGATCATAAGGCCGAGTGCGCCTTGGCCAAATCGAGGGGAAAGGTTACGATTAAATATGCCGACGGTGAACATCCGCTCTATCAACTGATCGGAATCTTGCGAGCGCTCGGACTCAAAGATAAGAATCCTGACGTCTTCGAGAAACTGGTGAATCTCGAAGCAAATGTGGAAAAACGGGAGGAATTCGTTAAAGCCATGGAGGCCGAGGAAGGTGGTGGCGGGGACCTGGTGGCAGTTCCACGAGTAACAGCACCGAACTCAAGCCGGCAGCAGGTGTGAAGCTAATTCATGATTTCTTCCAAAGAACGGACGTAACGGAGGAATGGATTGTCAAACTTATCGGAATAATTGAGACGAACGGGCACGAAATTCCCATCCCGGATCTCGATGGGCATATCAACAGGCGAGTTATTGGTATGAAACGAGAGACAAAATTAAGTTTACTACTTTCACTTGTGACCAGTGGCCGCGGAAGCTGTGGGGACATGTGGGGACATTAATATTGTATGTATTTAGGATAGGGGAGGGGGAGGGAGGGGTTTGTATAAGATGGGGAGATGATGGGGACATCAAAGAACCGTGGGAATATTGACCCTCTGCTTCCGCGGCCACTGCTTTCACTCATGACAAAGGGAAAGTTGCCCCATAAAAGCAGTTTACGTAAAATTATGGATTTGCATATGTAGGTGTGTACCATAACTCTTCCTATCTGGAGCATAATTGTCGTCCAAACTGTGTCAAAACGTGGGATTTGAGCACTAAAGAAATTGTGATTCGAGCCAGTACACCCATCAAGAAGGGAGATCATCTTTCAATCAGCTATGTAATAAACTCACGTGGGATTCATCACCAAAATCGTGAAATCAGCATATTTTTAATCGTTTCTAGACTCTGAGAATTTATTTTAAAATTCTGAACGACAAATTTGTAGGACAGGTCGTTGTCAATCTATTAAAATTTGCACTCCAGATTTTGACCATTTTTGAAGGAGGAGATCTCAAGTTTAAGAAGCCGCCTTAAGAAAAACTGGAATTCATCAAAGCTGGTTAAAAACTGGCAACTCCCTGCTTTACGAATTTTAATATAAATTCCCAGAGCGAAGAAATGATTAAAAATGCGCTGATTTTGATAATTTTGGCAATAAGTCATCGAATATCCTAAATTAAGCGTTTTTTAATTAAGGGGAAGTCCATAAATTATGTCACGCAAAAACTCACGAATTTCTAGACCCTCCCCCCATTAACATGCGTCATATAGGCACAATATCCTTGAACCCTCCTCTCACGTGACATAATTCATGACCGGTCCCTTAAATATTTTACAAATTATCCAGGTGGACCCTTTATGGGGCACCGCCGATCGACTATCTCTCCTCCGAATGACGAAATTCTTCACGTGCCACTGTGACCGGTGCAAGGATCCGACCGAGCTCGGATGTCACGTCAGCTCGCTCCGGTGTCAACACTTGAAATGTATGAATATCCCCGACCTCCGAAAAACGTGGCCTGGTCGCTCCACTCGATCCCTTCAAACCGGACGGAGATTGGAAATGTTTGACGTGCAAGGAAGACTACAACGTCGCCTATGTCAACTCTCTGATCCAGAAAGCTGGTCAAGAGATGGACCAACTTCACGACAAAATCGGCGACATCGCGGCCAAGGAAGACTTTGTGAAACAATTTTCGAAAACCTTGTCGCCCAATCACTTTTACTTGTTGGAGGTGAAAGTAGAGCTGGCCCAGCTTTACGGACGGACGAGTGAGGAGCCGTTGCATATGATGAGTCCGAAAAATCTCGTGAGGAAGATTAACCTCTGTGAAGAACTTTTGGTCACGCTCAACATAATTTATCCAGGTTTCCAGGAATCTTATTTTAAAAATTGGAAAATTTATATATTTACTGATTATCTATTTATCCGCCTGCAGGCTACAATAGGTTGAGAGCTTTGATCATTTATGAACTCCAAGCCGCAGTCTTCATGCTTTCACAACTTCGCCGCAGTTGTGGAGATATTTCATTGGAAACGCATTTGGAAGAGTTGATGGTAAGATTTTTAAAATTTGGGTAAATTTTTGTTTGGGACCTCATTTTCGGAAAGACAATCTATCTCATGTATACTCGAATAAACGACTTTCACTTACAACAATGGAGGTCTCCCAGCGGATGCTCTCCGATTTTGACCAAACTATAGTGTCAATCGATCATCAATGTAATTAGTATGAAATTTGGAAAAGACACGATCTCCCAATGGGCACGTTTCGCAGAGATATTTGCATCCGAAGAGGAGAAAGCGACCACAGTAAATTTGGAAAGTGTAAAATTTTTCGACTTTAGTAAAAACTTCAGCCAAGGATCACCATGTAGAATATTATTCCTCCAGTTCTTTATAGAAAATGGGTAGATTCTCCTACTATCAATAACTTTCCTACACATTACATCAGTGGCGGCGGAAGCAGAGGGAGGACAGGGGACATTGTCCCCCGAGAAATTCAGCAAAATTGTATCTGGCCATTCTTTCCCATGTTAATAAGCCCATTCTCCTCAATAATCCCACAATGCTAATGTCCCCACATGTCCCCCCAACTTCCGCCGCCACTGAATGACATAACACATATTACGTAATAAAAATGCTCATTAGCATTATTACGAATGAAAGTCATTCTAAATACATACGTATCCTACCAAATTCTGCCCACCAATAAAAAAAGGTGGAAACAGAGAGAAAGTAGAGAGATCAACCTTTCAAATGCATAGAAAGAAAGTGCCCTGTGCCAATTTAGCAAACGAGTCTACAAATACAATCAAGACAAAAAAGGAGGTATGTAAAAGTGCTCACAAGTCAATTACCGACGACGACGACTTTCACTTCACCATTTTCCCTTTATTCACTTCACCCTCGAGGTAGATTGAGAAGGAACATTTATGAATTTTTACGAGCCAATTACAGAAATGATGGTAATGATTATTACACATTTTTTGTTTCCATTCTCTTTTAGCAATGCGGTAAGTGGATGACTGAAGTGATAAAGTGCTCGGATGGGAAAGCCAGCATTCGATCGAGCGAAAAAGGGCAGCTGGGGCCGAGAGAGACTTGGACAATTTGAGAAAGGCTGTACTTTCACTGCAGAATTTGCCTGAACCTACGGCTACCTTATCAGTCGATAAGGTAGCTGCTGCTGGATCCAGGAATGAAAATGCAAAACCACCTTCCAGCCCGAAGAAAGGAGGAGAAAAGGAGTTATCATCACTTGATAAGGATCTGGAGAAGGATATTCTCGAAATTGAAAGATCCCATCTCCACTGCGGATGATGATTCGTTCATTGAAGAAGTGTTTTAATTGGGAGAGGAGAAAATTACTTAATAATTCGACTTGAATAATGATTAAATTTTCAACTTGTTACTACTTAAATGTAAACTTTTGTCAGAAAATTACATATATAAATAATGGTACATGTAGAGTCAGTAGCCGCGGAAGCCGTGGGGACATCTGGGGACATTTACTTAAATATACTTTTGTCAGTGTATTCTGTAATAAACAATGGTACATACATGTAGTCAGTCAGTGGCCGCGGAAGGTGTGGGACATTTTCCTTGTAATATGGGGGAGGGACGGGTTTATATAAGATGAGGAGATGATGCGGACATCGAATAACCGTGGGACATTGCCCACACCCTTCCGCGGCCACTGCATATATGTAGTTCAAAGACATACGTACCTACAATCTGCATTATACAAAAGATGAAAATAAAAAGACATACTGAAACTGTTCCATGCAAATACGTACATATATTTTATTCTCCTCAACCAAACAATGCATATGCCCGAGAAACATTTCCTTATTCCTTTTTTATTATACTCTTTAACCCACAAAGCTACAAAAAAGTATTCAAAAGAAGAAGCGTCAATCCTTATTATTCAGCTTAAGCAGAGGAGAGAAGGAGGAAAACCATAATGGTGCAAAGTCCGGAGGGGGTTCAGTTCAGTCTATCTCATTTTACTCATCCTTCAAACGAAAAAAAGGCAAAAACAAGTTGGTTGGCTTTACTTTACCATCGTCGTGTTATTAAACTGAGAATGAGACAGAGCCCACTAACAGAATTTACTATATCCCCCTCCTCTCCTATATTATGAAATGGGGAACCAACTCCCTCTCCTGGAATTTGTTGAGAGGGGATTTTCACAAAAAGTGTAATAAGAAGATGCATATGCCGACCAGACCAGTTACACAGTGGCCGCGGAAGCGTGGGGACACAGGGAAAATGAAAATGTCCCCCATGTCCCCACGGCTTCCGCGGCCACTGCAGTTACATGGGGACCACAGCAGTATGGCCATAAAAATGGACCCATGCATCCGAAGAAGGGGAGATGGATGGATGTTTAAGAGGATAAGTTGGTTGGGTTGCGTTGGTTCTTGTGGGGAGACTCCCGTAAAGGAAGAAGATTACTAAAACTTGGTTTTCTCGTATATACACGAGGTTTAAAGGTTGGTTTATAATATTGCATAGGAAACAACGTGTTTGGTGCTTGGTTGCATGCAGTTGGATTGGATATATGTATGAGAAGTGAAGGAAGGGGTCCGTGGGTCCCCCTCTTCTTCATGTATATGAAGTTCCCCTTATTCGGCTCCACCAAAATTCAACCAAACAAACATCCAACCAATCCAGCCAACAAGGTTGCACACAAATCATCACAAGTCCGACCGAATTCAACATTATTCAAACAATAAGCATTGTTATCGAGTGCATAATAATAAGGCTGCAAAATCGGAGAGGAAATCAAAATTGTGTCAGGTTTTAAAGGTAAGTAAGTCAAATTCTCATACATCTAGGTTTGTAATAAATTATTAAGGTACGCAAAAAAACACGGCAGAAAAATGCAGTGGTGAAAGCAAACTCGAATTCAGTATGAGTTGCGATTCGCAACTTGCGAATTGAAGGAAACTTGAGACTGGGTATTTCTCAGAATTGTGAAAATATTGCAGTTTCTCAACTGCCCAGTGTAGCTTGGCCGTAGATTTTTAGCTGCCCAAAACATAAGGGAAGTTCGTAAACTTCATAACGCAGGAATGGGTGGGTGGTCAGGGCCCAATAATATCGTGTCAAAAGGGGTGGGTGGATTGGATGTCAAAACAAAAAAAATTGCGTTATGAAGTTTGCGAACGTTATCTACACACCAGCTGCATATGCATTTTTTTTTAGAAAATTACTGCTGTACTAATTGTTCTTGGTTTCCTATCTAGAGGTTTTCAAAATCGTCTCTTCATAGCTACATAAATATGGAGAAAGAAACCGTCTTTGAAATTGGATCCAACGATTTGTCCCATGCAAACAACTTTTTCCAAAAGTGTGCAAATCTCTTGTCCAAAAACCAACTCGTAGATTGCACAATAGTTTGTTCCGATGGTCAAGTACAGTCACATAAGGTAATCAAGAGTTTTCATGTTTAGCCAGTGGCTGCGGAAGTGTGGGGACAGAGGGACAATGTCCCCACGGTTGTTCGATGTCCCCAT